ATTATTTGTGCCCCACTATACACTCGTCTTAGAAAAAATCCAAACCCTTGGAATAATGACATGACAGAAATAGTAAAAAAAGTAAAATAAATAGTCAAAAGACTACCCTGTTTAGGAATTTCTGACTCAAAAGCTTATCTTATTGTTGAAATCGATGCGTCGGACTTAGGATATGAGGGGATACTTAAACAAAAAAATTTATCATCACCAAAAGAACAAATTGTCAGATATCATTCAGGTATTTGGCATCCAGTCCAACAAAAGTATTCCACTGTTAAAAAAGAAATTTTATCAATAGTCCTATGTCTTCAAAAATTTCAAGATGATTTATTTTCAAAAAGACTTTTAATTAGAACCGATTGTAAAGTGGCCCCTTCTGTTTTACAAAAGGATGTTAAAAATTTAGTTTCAAAACATATTTTTGCAAGATGGCAAGCTTTATTATCATGTTTCGACTTTGAAATAGAACATATCAAAGGAGAGAAAAACACATTACCAGATTATCTTACAAGAGAATTTTTACAGGAAAATGAGCAAAAGCATTAAAAGCTCAAAAGATCAATATAGATCTCCTGTGAGATCTAATTCAGACAAGACTATTATCAAAACTGGTCAAACCAGTACATCAAGACAATTATCGCATCGCCGACAGCTACAAGAAAGTTACCTAGTTCTCTCAAGACAGAAATTCCTATATCACCCAACAAAAAATTATCCCTCAATCCATCATAACTAGAAGCCATTAAAACTCCTTTACTCAACAAATTTAACCCTCTCATATCTTTAGGATCAAGTCCGAAGCCACAAAACATTCCTTCACCTTCAAAACAAATATCAAAAATTACCCCTCCAGTAGATACACCCACTGGATCTTACTCTTACCAAGAAGATTATGTCCAAAAAGATCATGACCTTGACATCATTATAGTCGAACCTGAGTGGAAAGATTTGAGCCCATCAACCTTAGCCACAAAACTGTTTACTGACCAACATCATTACCCCCCTTACTACCATAAAAGATTATTTTATGAATTTATTCTGGTAGACACCGATTCAATAGAGTTAACCCACACCAAAGATGAGCTAGGCTCTATTCAATTCTCAAAAGTCAAAATTCAAAAAATCCTTGCACCATCTGATTGGAATCAACCTTTATGCCAAGGAAAATCCTTTTCCAGAGAGTTCCAACCTCAACATTATACCTATTATGATTATATGTTAGCATGGACCAATATACTTTACCTCCAACCTAAAACCCATTCCTGGTTCTTCTGGTTTCGCAGGGGAATCTCATTAAAATTCCCAAAATGGTTTCTCCAATGGTTCCAAATTTGGGGACCCATAAGAGAGATATTTCCTCCCGAAGTATCTGAATATTATGATTATTTTAAATCAAAAACCACCTTTCAACAAAGTTACAGATTAATATCCTTTGTAGCTTCACAAAACATCACCTGGATTGCAACTTGGGATTATTTATATAGACGATCAAATGAAGAAAGTCCTCGGATTCTCACAAGAAATGTTAAAGTAAAATGGTGGAAAAAGTTTGACACTAAATTATTAAGCAAGAAAAGAATTGATGAATGGACAAGAAACAGTTCTTTGACAACAATCAAGACTTCTACCCATGACAAAGAATTATCTGATCAAGAAGTTCAATTCTTAGTTGATAAAAGAAAAATTATGGCAGAACTAGCATCCGCTACGTCTCAAGAAGAATTTGAAGAAAGATTAAAATTAATTCAATCACTTCAAGATGGTTCACAAGCCGAAGAAACTGGGTCTTCAAATTCAATATCTACTAATCCTTATCTTCGTAATGAAGACATGTTTGATTAAATCACTTGCAAAAAGTAGAAGAACAATTATTATGCCAGATGTCTCATCTATCACATCAAATATCAAGACAAAAGCAGTACCTGCCAACGTGTTTGCCATTATCAAGAACAGTTCTCTACAGTTCTCCATTATTGTACTTTTTCTACTTTTCAGTCTTGCCCTTCAATAATGAGGTGTTTAATACCCTCAATTGTAATTTAGTATTCTATGGTTTGCCTATATAAGGAGAAGTTCTCCTTCCTTATAAGCATCGAGTGCTCTAATAATTTATAAATATGATGTTCCTATCCACGCCAATATATATATATATATATATATATATATTTTAATGTTATATATATATATATATATATATATATGGGATGACAAGTAATCATATATCCGTAAGTAATATTTGAAACTGCCTCGACTTTGATAAAAAATATCTGATTTGATCAAATATAAATAATATCTGACTCTTTAAACGAGGTACAAGGATGACGATATGTATATATATACTAATCTCGTCTCCATATCCAAACTTGCTTAAAATTTATAAATATTTAATTTTTTTATAATTTATTTAAAATTTATATAATTTCTTACTCTATTTTTAATTTATGTTAAATAAAGTTAAATTACTGTAATTTTTAATTGCAAGCCAACCCATGAACCTAAATCCATATTACAATTGACCAAACCCCCTTGGCACATCTCTCAGCCACCCCCTTCTCTTGATTCACGTCCCTTAATTTACCCACGGAGAGTCTCTTTTCTCACACCAAACTGCCAACCCTTAGTTTTTGACTTCCCCCAACCCGTATTAACTCCCTTTCTCCCCATAGAACAAAGTGATGCATCCTCACCCTTATTTTCGCAAACCAACACATCACTATCGTTCATTCAAAAATCCCTTTTAATGACATACCCACACACCAACTTTTTCACCAACCAACTTAAAGTATTATGAAACCCCTGCACCGGCTCACTTTTCACGTCATCCCACTACCCCTAATTCAAACCCATCGCCCCTAACCACTCCTCTTGTCTCGCCACGTATGCCCTTGCGCACTACCCCTTCACCCCCCATCTCCCCTCAACCTTGAGGAAAGGTTGCCTCTCAAGGGCGGCCCAATGATAGGCCCATAAGAATGGCTTCCGGCCCATATTGGCTAAAAGACTATGGGCTCATGATATATATACCTCCATTTTTTTATATATACACTCCTTTTTTTTAAAAAAAATATTAAATTCTTAAATTATCCTTAATATTATTTGGAACAAAAAAAAATTATTTTGAAAAATATTTTTTGGAGGAGGTGTGTTGTATATAATTATGGAAAATACTTTCCGGAATACTAAAATTACTATTCTGGAAAGAACTTTCCGACGGAATAATTCCGAAAAGTACTTTTCATAATACTAAAATTACTATTCCAGAAATAACTTTCCGTCGGAATAATTCTGGAAAATACTTTCCATAACACTAAAATTACTATTGCGGAAAGTTCTTTCCGGATTTATTATAACAAATACACACAACGTTAATATTCCAGAAAAAAGTTTCCAAAATTATGTAAGAAACTCACTTTAAAAAAGTTATTTCCGAAATAAAAATTTTCTAATTCCAAAAGACTCATGATATATACACCTCTTTTTTTTTTTTTAATAAGTACACCTCCTTTATTTTTTAAAAAAATTATAAAATATTGTAGTTTTTTTCTTTCTAAATTTTCTAATTTTACACCTCCAACTTTCAATTTGCTACTTTCTTCTTCTAAATATTGTAGTTTATAATTTTTTTTAAAAATAAAGGAGGTGTATTTTTTTAAAAAAAAAAGAGGTGTATATATCATGAGTCTTTTGAAATTAGAAAATTTTTATTCCGGAAATAAATTTTTTAAAGTGAGTTTCATACATAATTTTGGAAACTTTTTCTAGAATATTAACGGTGTGTGTATTTGTTATAATAATTCCGGAAAAAACTTTCCGCAATAGTAATTTTAGTGTTATGGAAAGTACTTTCCAGAATTATTCCGACGGAAAGTTATTTCCAGAATAGTAATTTTAGTATTATGGAAAGTACTTTTCGGAATTATTCTGCCGGAAAGTTCTTTCCAGAATAGTAATTTTAGTATTCCGGAAAATACTTTCCATAATTATATATAACACACCTCCGAAAAATATTTTTCAAAATAATTTTTTTTTGTTCCAAATAATATTAAGGATAATTTAGGAATTTAATTTTTTTTTTTTTAAAAGGGAGTGTATATATAAAATAATGGAGGTGTATATATCATCAGCCAAGACTATGTATAGTTGTTGGCTTATTTGTGTTGTTTTCTTGTTATCTCTAAAAGGGCCCATATATAGTTGAGCCCAAGAATTGTATTTCCCTTACTGAAGTGTACCTTGTTGCCTTGAAGACTTGAAGGGACAAGAATAAAGTGATATAATTTTTCCGATTTTAAGTTTCAATAGTAGTAACCCTAATTTTTCAGTAGTTTCTTAACACCCTCTCTCTTTTATGATGATATCCAAAGTCAACTCTCCAAGGTAGGAAGATAAAATTGGATTATTGAGATTTTGGTCGACAGTGTTTTGCCATCGCTCCCTCAATTTGCACGCAACATCTAAAATTTGAAGACTCAAACCATTGATCGCTGACCCACCCCACCGTGTTTGCTACATCCCCCCACCATGGCCAACCAACTCGCAGAACTCTCAGCAGCAATGCGTTGATTGTGAATGAAAATGAACTTTTATAGGTGAGATTTGTTGTTCAAAACAATTCCAATAAATTAATCCATGAGGATCCATCGTCGGTGAGCTTAGATAGAGTTGGTATGAAAAAGTATTTTAGGGTAGTACCTCTAACTGGGTGTGAATATGTAGGACAACAGATAATTTTGGAAAGAGAAAAATAAATAAAATGTTACATATTTTTCAATCAAATGAGCTGACAAGTGCCAACATTTAAATGAGCTGACAAGTTTGGAAAGATAATCATTCTGCTAAATTTGAAGGAAATAACATTTCTCAAAACATAATACGCTAGTGCCGTACTACAGTGACAAGTTACAGTAATCAATTTTTTGTACAGGTCATAGAATAAGTCTATCGTGGCATGGTTTTGGATCTTTAAAGTCCCAGAATATATATAAATAAAGATAACTAAAGTTAATAGAATTTTAGCATCTCTATTTTTTTGGGAATTAGTAGCATACATATGACTGACAAACTCGGAAACTCTCCCCTTGACAGAATATGGGGCAAGCAGATAACAGAAAATATTGGATTCTACGTCACTTATTCTGAGCTTAAAAACATAGTTTAATGCTGGGAACGAACGATTAAACAAAATTGGCAGTAACACAATGAGTATTTGTCAGTATGTAGTTCACTAGTTTATTTGCATGTCACGCAAATTTACTTTCAAACCACTTTTCAGTATATAAATTATTTGTCATTTGTACGGCCAAACCTGCGCAAGCAATCAGCAAAACTGGTAACAAGACTAGCACACTTCAATGGGTCCTTGATATGTTCCTTGTAACATGTTAAGGTCGCAAGCCTCTCGGCCATGCAAGGCTCAGGCTTTGGGTTCGGAAGCTTATACTCTTTATCATGAAGATCCTTTGCCTTTTGGGTCACTTCCTGCAACATATTCTCCTCTTGCTTCTGCAATCTTTCCAAAACCTTCTCACTTTCCTGAAGCATAGACTGAATTACTTCCAACTCTGAATGGGCAGGTTGTACAGGCAATGTGGCAGGTAGAAATAACGGGGCCTGCACTGGCCACCCTGGAGTAACTGCACCCTCTGGCTTTCTAGTTTCATTATATTGGGGCTTTTCAGTCTCTCTTGCCACCTTACGTCTAGTCTTTCTAGTTTTTTTCTTAGGCACCGCATCATCAACAAGCTGATTAACAAGGTCATTGCTAATCTGAATCGTAAACTCACCCATAATTGATAACTCCTGCAAAAGGTACCAGAAAGATATCATAAAAGTGATAATGTTAAAAGCATATATTGATGCAGGAACAGTAGGAAAGAAGATAATTAAAATTGGGAATATCTAAATAATTTCAAGATATTTTAGTTGATTTTGTGGCTTCTGTTTATAGGTATCATTATTCATTATAGTTAAGATTAGTGTTAAGTATTTAAGTTTCTTATTTGTAAGGCCCAGGGTATCTTAGGCAATGTTTGAATAATTAAAGGGGGTGAAATGGAAGGTTGGAAAAAAAACTGTCGCATGAAATGAAATGGAATAACCACAATTCTTGACATAGCCTTACTGGGCTAGGGATAGTACTACAAATCAATTATGTAGAAAGAGTGAAATGAGAAGCTTCAATAATTTTTTAGGGTAATTATGAAAAATGCAACTTAATGTTACTAAATTAACCAACTCTCTTAATGGATGTGAATTAGTAATATTTAGGGTAGTATCAAAGATAGAAATTATCTCTACATTGAGTTAGTAACTATTCGTCTATTAGGTTCCTAATAAAGAAGATTGAAATAACAATTATATAAGTTTCACATCTTGAGAGAATTCCTTAATGAACTGGAAACTAGCAAATATTGCTACTGTGTCAACAAACCTGTGGCAGTTTGTTCAACTTTGTGGTAAAAGAATCAAACTAACTCTATGGTGTCAAGTTTTACACAAGCAAATATTGCTACTGTGTCAACAAACCTGTGGCTGTAGCATGTTTCCAGAAAAATCCAGTTATAAACTGGTTAATCGAAACAACTCTATACTGAACTGCTACAACACTTAATTATGATAACCCGATTCTAAGCATTTCAAACTCATTATATTATAGTAAAGTAGCCAGAAGATGATAACAAAAAAGGATAATAAGAGTTTTAAAGCCTTTATCAAATATAACAAAAATGAGACAAATAAAATAAAAGAAAAAAGTTGTTCCATTAGAGTACCAGCTATTTTTCTTTTTTCTCGAGTATGGTTTATCACAATTCACAAATGAAATGTGAAATCTAAAGGCAAGGCTAGGGGAAGATAGAGTTTAACTACCAATGACAATGCTAGGAATTGTAAAGTTTAACTAGGAATCACAGAATTTTACTCCTTTTATATTTGTTCTCCGATGATTAATGCTCTTGCGTAGCGGCGGGGCAGAGCGGAGCGGCTCAGTGCCGCTGCAGAGAACTTGAGGCGGAGCGTTTTAGTGGAGCGGCCGGAGCGTTTTAGTGGAGCGGCCGGAGCGGGTGCGAAGGCAGCAGAGCGAGGCGGCACGATCGCGGGTTGGGCGGCGGGTTCTCTCTTACTTCCGTCGGATCTTCTACAGATCTGTTTTCTTCCCGGCGGATCTCCGCAGATCTGCCTTCTTCTCCGGTGGATCTCCGCAGATATGTATTCTTCTTCGGCGGCGGCGTCTCTATCTTCTCTGGCGGATCTCCTGCAGATCAGTAGGGTACGGAGGCGGCGGAGGCGGAGTGGCTAGCACATTCTCATGGTTAATGGGTTATGATAAACAAACTAGGGTTAGAACAGTTGGGTCAATGGGCCAAATGTTTTTTATTTTATTTTTTCTTTTAGTTTAGTTTGATGGGCATAATTTATATAGAATTTAATTTAATTTTTCTATTTTTTACGGTAATTTCTCTTTGTTCTAATTTTAATAATTTATATATTATTATAAGTAAAAAAAATCTAATATAAGACTTTTAAAAAATTATTTATTTTTATTTTTTTTAAGTACTATGACTTTGTATTATTGAAAATTATTAATGTTTAAGTTAAGTTAATTTTTTTTGTCTTATTATTAATTAAGTTAAATTATAATTTTACATTAATCCATAATCTTCATCCCCTATTTTAAAATAAAAATATTTAATTTCTCATTTGAAAATATGAAATTTTGATTTTATCATTAATTAACATCTTTTAATTATTAAATTTTAATGTTTATTTATATTTAAATGATATGCATTTAATAACATAATATTTAAAAATAAAAAATTAAACAAAAATACATAATTATAATTTTTATTTATAAAATAAATATCAATTATTAGTAAAAATATACAAATAATTTTTTTTTATGTTATTTTTTATTTAAGTGGTGATCGATTACTAAATATCATCAAAATTTAACCATTGATAAATATCAAATTAATGATAAGACAAAAATTTTATATTTTAAAAATAGAAAATAAAATATTTATTTAAAATAAAGAAATTAAAACTATGAATAAACAAAAATACATTTTAACCTATTAATTACTTATATATATATATATA